AGCAAAGCAAGAACCTCCCTGTTCCATATTACTAAATAGCAGCTGCTGGCCATTTTGGTTACAACTAGATATAGTTGTGATGTTGTGTAGGACTAGGAGTAGGGTGACCTGGGTTCAAGTCATTCTTAGCCACCAAAGCTCCCTGGGTAACTGGGTCAGTCATTCCCTAATTCAGCCCAACCTACTTCATGGGATTGTCGCTGTGGGGAAGATGACAAAAAGAGGAGCAGTATATGCCACTTTTACCTCCTGAACAAAAGGTGGACATTAGTCCACTAAAGAAACAAATACATTTGTAAGTTTTGTTTCTTTATTGGAGTGCTATTCATTTTTTCTTTTGTTTTAATTATGGGTTGCTTATGGGTATTCTTTTTGTGTACCAGACTAGAAGGAAGGTACCACTATATTGATTATGAAAAACAACTTTTTCTTGTGCCAGCAGGATACATGCTACCCATGGAAGGTTCAGGAATGGGAACATGTTCATCTGTCAGTGCAGAACCCCCATTCCCAGGAACCCCAAAGCAGCCTGACATTTAAAGTGGTTTGTTCCTATTACGAGGTTAGGGCAGGGGCTGCTAGCAGGCTGATGATTAGCCCCTGGGGCCTGATTGATACAGGAGGCCGAAGGCTATCTATTGCAGCAGGGTAGGAGTCATTACTTAATAATTAATAAAGGCTCTGCTATTGCTCTTCCACATGCATACAGCCAGAATAGTCGAGGACTGGGAGTAAGCTGTCTCCCCCTTTTTAACTGCCGTGGTTATTTAAAGGAATAATGCCATTCTTTTTCATTTGTCAGCTGGCCCACAATGGCTCTTGTCAGCCTTTATGATTTAGTGTTTCCTTTCCTTTCCCATTAAACACCATCCTCCCCCCAAGGTGTCCAGCTACAGGCTGCTCTCAGACTGCTCTCCTACAAGGCTTGCCTTGCTGTTTCCATAAGCTCTTTGAGGGCTAATTGCTTCTGTTCATTTACACCTGTTTATTAATTTGCTGTGGCCCTTTATTAAGCTGAATAGAGCCCAAAATACACTATAAATTATATACACAAGGGAACAGAGTGTTGCCTGACTTGGCTGTTGCCCTTTTTCTTTTCTCTCCCCTGCCCCCATCTAAGAAATGGCAAGTTTGGGCTCAGTACTGGAAACCAAACAGGCAACAGATGTGGAGCTTGGATTCAAGTGGCTTCAAATTATCTAATGTAAACTTGTTTTTACGCTTTCATCCAGTGGTGGGATTCAAATATGTGAACAACCGGTTCTCTGTGTGGATGCCGCTTCTGGAAGTCCATTCTGGGCCTGGGCAACAAAAAAATTAGCTACCGGTTCTGCCAAAATGGTGCGAACCGGCTGAATCCCACCACTGCTTTCATCTATTAAGACACTTTGTTACTGTGGAGTCCTTGATGCTCTCTCAGATTGGTAGAGAAGTGATGGAGTTGAAGTTGCTGGAACCTTGGACAAAAGTAACCATGTCATACTGGAATTTAATATAATGCAAACACTAGCAACAGAAAACAATCCAACCAGTGTCTTGAACTTCAAAAGAGCTGACTTTAACAAACTCAGAGAGAACCTAGGAAAGATCCCATGGATGAAAATCCTAAAGGTGAAAACAAACCAAGAAGCATGGGAAACTCTGAAAAATGTGATCATAAAAGCCTAGACCAGCACAGTACCACTGAAAAAGAAAAACAAGAAATTCAAGAAGAAACCAGCATGGCTGCATAAAGATTTCTCTGACAAACTGAAAGATAAAAGGAACAAATACAAAACATGGAAAAAGAGGCACATAACTAAGGCCAATTATCAGCAGACAGTCAGAATATGCAAAGATGAAGTCAGGAAAGCAAAGGCTCAGAACGAACAAAGACTTGCAACAGAAATCGTGGATAATAAAAAAAGTTTCTTCCAACATATTAACAATAAGAAAAAAGTCCATGAAAGAGAGAAGATGGCAAGAAAATAACAGGCAACAGGGAGGAAGCAGAGCTGCTTAACTCATACTTTGCATCAGTCTTCACACAAAAAGAAACTATAGCCCAACATACCAAAAAAACCACTGCAAAAGACAAATTAGAAACAAAAATTAAAATAAGCAAGAAAATGGTAAGAGAACATCTATCCAACCTTGACAAATATAAATCACCGGGGCCTGACAGATTACATCCAAGAGTTCTCAAGGAGCTGGCAGATGTTATCCCAGAACCATTACACCACATCTTTCAAAAATCCTGGAGCACCGGGGAAGTACCTGAGGATTGGAAAAGGGCTGATGTGGTTCCCATCTTCAAGAAAGGGAAAAAAACGGACCCAGGAAACTACAGACTAATCAATTTAACATCAATACCTGGGAAGATCCTAGAAAAGATAATCAAAAAACAGATCTGCAAACAACTAGAAGCAAACAAAGTTATAACCAGTAGCCAGCACAGGTTTGTTAAAAACAGATCACACCAAACCAATCTTATTTCATTTTTCGACAAAGTGACTAAACTAATAGACCAGCGAAATACTGTGGACATAGTATACTTAGACCTCAGTAAGGCATTTGATAAAGTAGACCACACCTACTCCTTGGTAAGCTAGAAAAGGGTGGAATAAACAACATCACCACCAGATGGATCTGTAGCTGGCTGGCAAACTGTACTCAATGAGTAGTCCTCAACTGCACTATATCCACATGGAGAGAAGTAAGCAGTGGAGTACCACAAGGTTCTGTCTTAGGCCCAGTACACTTCAATATCTTCATCAATGACTTAGATGAGAGAATTGAAGGGGAACTCATCAAATTTGCACATGACACCAAACTGGTAGAAGTAGCCAACACTCCAGAAGACAAACTCAGGATCCAAAAAGATCTTGACAATGGGCCCTATCCAACAAAATGAGTTTCAATGTGGAGAAAAGTAAAGGTTTACATTTAGGCAGGGAAAATCAAAGGTAAAAGTATAGATTGGGTGAGACCTGGCTTAAAAACAGTAACTATGACAGGGACCTTGGAGTCCTAGTGGATGATCACTTAACCATGAGCCAGCAATGTTCAGCAGCAGCCAAAAAAGCTAATACAATCCTGGGTTGTATAAACAGAGGCATAGAATCAAGATCACACGAGGTATTAGTACCACTTTATAAAACCCTAGTAAGACCACACCTGAAATACTGCAGCCAATTTTGGTCACCATATCACAAAAAAGATGGTGAGAGTTTGGAAAAAATTCAGAGAAGAGCAACTAAGATGATCAAAGGCCTAGAGACTAAAACATACGAAGAACGGCTGCAGGACTTGGGTTTGGCTAGTCTAAAGAAAAGAAGAAATAGGGGAGACATGATAGCTATATTCCAGTATTTAAGGGGCTGCCACAAAGAAGAGGGGATCACATTATTTACCAAAACACCAGAGGGCAGGACAAGAAAGAATGGTTGGAAACTGATCAAAGAGAGAAGCAACCTGGAATTAAGGAGAAACTTCCTGACAGTGAGGACAATTAACCAGTGGAACAGCTTGCCTCCAGAAATCGTGGGTGCTCCATCACTGGAGATTTTTAAGAAGAGGCTAGACAGTCACTTGTATCAGATGGTATAGGTTCTCCTGCTTGAGCAGGGGGCTGGACTCGAAGGCCTTCAAGGTCCCTTCCAGTTCTATTCTATTCTAAATGGTTTTCTTGCAGTCATTTTGTTATCAAACTAGGTAACATCATCAGTGCCACAAAAAAACATCAAGCTCAGAGAGTACAGAGGACCATGCAGTTCAATCTTGAGCTACAAATATTATCTTCAATCAACACCTTGTTTTACATTGAGAACAGACCTTGGTCCAAGCTAAACTCCTTTTCCAAACTCTCACAATGATGGTCTTTTCGGGTATTGGGGCTTTTAAAACATCATGGCTCCAGGCTTCCTGCCACTGCCAACCTCCTGATGACTTTACTTTGCTTACTGCTCCCACCTCCCTGATCTCTTTCTTTACCTTTTAATCATGATGGAATTCATTAATGAATGAAATAAACACACTCTCTCTCCCAGGTTGCAGTTTTATTGAGACAAGGACAGGAGTCTGTTGCAGTGATTTCTTAAATAACTGCTAACAGTTAAAATTCAATTAATTTTTTAAACAGGACTTTTGCTGTGCTAGTGAAAGCAAAAGGCAACTAAAAGCTTGATTCAGAGCAGAAAATAAGGGGGGGGGAGAGGAAGGGCTCTAACTTTGTGTTCAAATACTTAATCTCTTCTCTATTTTCTTAGTTGTGAAACATCGAAGAAAATGATGCAGTTGTTTATAAGAGTCCATGAAAAAAAATAGCATTAATGTGTTTCTTTTTCTTACTTTATATTACTTTTTATCTGCCTTCTTAAAGGACTTTAATAAAAATTATATGTAAAAATGTGCCTAGTCCATGAAAGGGGAAGTTGGAATGACATTGATTCCTGACTAAGGTTCCCAGGAAATATTGTCTTCCCAAAGACAGAATTTCTAATATTTCAGTGCTAATCCCAAAGCTTAAGTTAGGATGGAACTAATAAGAAGTCAAATATATCCTGAAAGCAGATCTATCATGGAGAGTTGATATACAATTCTCATCAGCAGGCATGCTGGTAGAATTGGCTGATGGAATATCTTACTTTGGTAGATCTTTGGGGCTGAGAAAGTAAGTTCATAAAAAAGGATATACCGGTGATGTAATAAGAAAAAAAAATCCCTAATACATTAAAGCAGGGGTGTCAAATTGCCGGCCCGCAGGCCGGATGTGTCATGGCAAAACCACGCCTACCCCATTGCTGGCAATGGGAAAAAAATTGTGATACGTCACGACACGTCACGTGACGTTGCGAGTTTGACACCCCTGCATTTTACATTCTTCACCAAGAGAGAATAGAATATAAAGAGTTGATCTCATTGGCTATAAAAGAAAGATCTTCAGTTTAATAGATCTAGGGCTAAACTCCATATGATTCTGGTAGGATAGGACAGGTCAGAGAGCAAAGTTGCTGCCTTACCTGATATTCAGCTGTGTTAACTTCTCCAGCTCCTGCTCCATATGCTCCTGCAGCTCACCTGGACGAAGCAAAACCTGACAAATAGGGCAGATAGGAGCTTGGCTGTCAAAGAGTGTTGCCTTCTTCTTGCCTGTAGGGAGACAGAGAGCATAGCTTTGAGTTTCAAGCATCCAGAGTATTCACTTCCTATGCCTTGTATAACTGCAGGATACACACACAAATATTTATTCACAAAGAAACCTGGTGTTATTTATTAAGGAGCCAGAGTATAGCTACTACTTATTTTGCATATCAATCTTGTTTTTATTTCAGTAGTGCCTTCTACTCTGCTTAGCTAAGATCAATGTGGAATTTCCTGTTTTCCCAGTGGTTCTAACTTGCTGTTGTAGCTAACCTGAACCCTGGTTTAAGTTTAGACTAGAGCAGGGGTGTCAAACTGCCGTCCTGCAGGACAGTTGCATCATACGGAGGCCGCGCCCATCCCAGCTCCGGCATTGAAAAAAAAGTCGTGATACATCACGACACGTCATGTGATGCAGCGAGTTTGACACCCATGGACTAGAGTTTCTTTGAAGTCAAGGTAGGATTATCGAAGAGAGATGGCAAAGGAAAGATAGGCTAAAGAAAAGTTCAGTGTTCCACTATGTAATCTATCTAATAAGCATAAAAAAAGGTAAGTGTCATGGTTCCAACAGACAGAAACGAATAAAGCAGTACTCCAAGGCTTGCAAATTCCTCAAAAACATGTTTATTAGTTACAAAGTATCGGCACGGTCAAAAGTGAAACCAAGTCTGGATACACAAGCAACAATTCCCCAATAAAAAGTTAAATGTCCACCCACAAAAGCTATGTAAGCAACTACGTTTCCCCTCTCACAGACCGGTACGCTCCCACACTCGCCCGGAGGAGTCCCACGGCAGCCGGTTCGTCACAGCCGACCGCTGGGGGTCCCCCTCCCGGAAGAGACACCCACGGGGGTGGGAGACCTTGCTTGATGGGGGGCTCTAGGCCTGCTAAGGCCTGGAGGATGGAAAAGCGGCGTGGGAGTTCTGTACCGAAAAAGTTGTTCGCCCAGACCGGATCCCTCTTAAAAATAAATAGGGACAATTTTTAATTTAAATCTTAATTAATTATACAGCGAAAAAAAAAATATTTGGTTTTTAATAGGTTTTTATGGGGGGACGATGTTTTATGTGTTTTAATATGCTGTAAGCCGCCCTGAGTCCTATAGGGAGAAGGGCGGCATATAAATCCATGAAATAAATAAATAAATAAATAAATATAATTATTTGGCGGGCTTTTTATGAAACGCCCAGTCTCTAGTCTTGGGAGCAGCCGATGACCTTGGTTCCCACGGGACAAAAGATTATTTTGACTAGCGAAGCACCAGGGCAACCCCCGTCCCTCCGTTCTATGTGGCAACCTAGAATGAGAAGGAAAATGGCTGCAGCCATGCTCATTTGTAGAGTTGACAGTAAGTTCAAGAACAGTAACAAGTTATTCTTTACATATGTATTAACTCATCTCTGAGGACAGAGCACCATAACATATTTGAGGGCAAAGTGGCATAATATTGTGGGAACTGACACCACCCAAAAACAGACTCTATGAACTGCAGAGTGTCATTTAATATACAACGGTTTTCCAACAGGAATATAATTTTCTTATAACATGATACTTGGCTCTCTGGCTGATTTCAAAAGCTCTCTATAAGTGATCAATTCAGACTCCTATAAGAGTTAACTGTCCCTTCCCTATTGCTCTATCTCAGTGATTCTCAAATGGTCTATTTATTACAATCTCCCCATATTCACCAAGTGCAATCTGCTCGCCTACATTCTCATATTCATCTCACTTCCAGTTAGTTGGGCAAAGTTTACTCACTGCCTCAGTTCTCATCTGTCTGCTCACTGCAAGTCAGCTGGCCAAATCAGAATGTGCTCACCACCTCATCCACCAACAAACCACTGATGAAGAGCTTGGAGGTTGGCTAACGGCAGTTATAATCAGAACTGGGAAAGGGTGCATTGAGATAAGCATTGAAGGAGCTACATGTGTAGTAGATCTCTCTCATGCACGTGAAATAAGTTTTGTCTGAAGACAAGGTCACACAGAGAAACGTTTGCAGTAAAAAAAAATGCTGCCTACTTGCAGTAAAAAAAAAATGCTGCCTACTTGCACCTGAAGTAAGGTGTAACAATTGTGAACATGATCAAATAACAATTTTGCAGCTCATGCCTTTTCAACATGCCATAAGTATAAATAAGTAGCGAATACTGAACTCTGCTTCTTAAGCAGTAAATAAATGCTTGTTTTGGTTTTTGAAAATTGTATTCTTAATTGTGCTCTGATGCTCTTAAAAATTAACTTGGAGGGAGTGCTATCTTTTACTAATGTGGGTGATCCTCTGCTTTTCCTCAATGTTTATTTAGTGGTTAATGATTGCAGAAAAATTTGTCCAAAGCAAAGAGAATATCAAAGAAAAAAATGTGTGTGTGTATAAGAGAGAGAATGAAAAATGCCATAAGAAAAAAAAGTATTCATGTAATTTATTTGCCACCTCAATTAAATTCCTATCCATATTCACTTTGGGCTATGGTTCTGTGTACTGCTTGCTTCATCTGTAGAGGAATATGACCTTTGAAACAAAATACAATTGCTCACCTTGGCTTACAGGAGTACTGAATATATACTATTATGCATATTCATATAATGCAAAGGAACATATACATACAGCTTTGCTGTAAGTAGAAAATTCATTTTGTACAAAATAGCTTTGAAAGTGAGAATGTCCAATAACAGTATATTTTACTCAGCAGCATTAATCTAAACTTTCAACTGTAAACCCCATTGATCGCTCCGGTTGAAACCAACCTTACAAAGAACTAAGACTAATGTTCTCTATCCTGTTGAATTGAATGTGAAATTTAAGTCATATAGTTTGAATTAAGGCACCTCATTCCAGTTCACTGTGGAGATGAACAGTGATTCCTATTATTGTAGAAGCAAAGCTGAGGACTTAAGAAGCTTCCAGAAAAGAAATTGGACATCTTGATTTCTATGAAAGGTTTGAAGTGATTAATAAAATATACATGATGTTTAGAAAAAAAAATACCATTCATACTTGCACTGCTCAAATGCTCAAGCACACGTAGTTTAATATTCTTGCTATCCTGGTCTAAAGGTATTCCTTGACTTACGATTGGTCATTTAGCAATCATTTGAAGTTCCAGTGGAGCTACCAGGAGAGTACTTACAACCCAGATTAAAAGTTCTGATAGTCGTTCCCCCTGCGGCCATGAGATTTCACTTCGGGTGTTCGCAACCAGGCTGCATTTACAGTTGTTTGCAGTGTCTCATTTTATAATTAAAAAAAACAGCATTTATCGCTGTGTTTGACAAAACAGCATCATTGGCTTGCTTAATAACTGAGGATTTGCTTAATAACTGCAATGATTCACTTAACAACTGTTGCAAAAAAGGTTGCAAAATCAGATTAGTCATGTGACCAACTCCTTTTATGACTATCAAGAGTTATGGCCATGATGAGCAGGCTCCATTAAGGTTGAGGATTACCTATATGTGATGAATTGCTGCTAGAAATTTACCTTGATTGTATCTTTCTTCTGAGAAAAAAATAACACAAATAAAACAAAAAACGCAATTCAAGGTGCTGGTTGTCACCTTGACCATAAATTCTTCCAGTTACCTGAAGAACTGACTATCTTTTCCCAAGAGTCTCTACCCATCTGATTCATCTAGCTGATTGAACATGCTGCAGATCCCGTCAGCCAGTGTTGCTGGCAGGGACTAAAAGATGTCCCTTTTCTGAAGAAGCCCCTGTTCTGTGGAATATCTTTCCCCTGGAAATTAAAATGGCCCCAATCCTGTTTGCCTTTCATAAGGATTTAAAAACTTGGCTGTGTTTCTGAGTTGGGGCATTGAATGTGTTAAAGGCCCTGCTTCTTGGCTTTATGTTAACTGGTTGACTATCTCAGCTGCTGTGAATATGTATTTTGGATTTTTTTTATTGTTTTTAAATGCTTTTTACTGTTTTTATAGTTTTGGAGTCGTAAGCCACCTGGGTTCATTGACTGAGATGGGCAGCTATGGAAACTGAATAAATAAATAAATTAATTAAAATCCCATTTCTGAGCTGAAGAAATGAGTGAATTTTGAATCATTTCTGAAATACATCACTGTTCTAACATAGCAGAATTGAAATATGTGGGCTTAGGTTCCTACGATTAAAAATCTCTTTGACACTCTGTTACTTGTCCTGGTCAAGAGCCATTGTAATAATAGTGTCCTGTAAATACAACAAACTTTAAAGCATGTAATAAACCCACAAAGAGCCACAAGGCCATTCATCTGTTCCATTGTTGTGTTAGTTGCTGTGGTCATCAGAGGGTGCTGCAAACACAGTTCTTATGGATGGCTGGAAAGGAGAATACTTTATAGTTTGTTACTGACATCTATTGTGGAGCGGTACCACTGGAATATTTATGTATTAGACATGGATCAAATTGGTTAAATCTGTACAAGAGGCAATAATGCACCATAAAGCAGATTGTGTGCAATGTGGCCTTCCAATCAAAAGCCCAAATGTGCCATTTTATGACCAGAAGCTAGCAAAAAAAAAGCAGAGCCCAGTTAAATGAATCCTCTTAAAAGGAGTAGACCTACCCCAAGGGAGAAAATGTTGGCACACAAACTTTGCTTGGGTGATATAAAGAGGTGTAAAGAGAAGTGTTGTAAAGGAAGGAACAGCTGTTGTAATATGCTTTAACATGAGCAACAGGGAAATAAGTCTGGAAATAAGCTGCCTTTTGCTAGCAATTATCTAATTAGGATGTCATACCTCCATGCATATTGTACATTTTAAATTCAAGATCCCTGCTTCAGGTTTCTCCTTTTACTGTCAACCTACCCGCTACCTTTTCCTTTCATATTGATGAGAGGATCTAGGATTGTTCCTTCCCTTCCCCATAGCTGCAAAGAGGATTTGAATAACTGAGTTCTTGGGAGAAGCAGGAAGACATCTTAGATCAGGAAGAAGCGGGGAGCAGGAGGGAAGCTCTATCCTCCAATTTTCCTTTTGAAATTCAAGCACTGTATTCTTTCAAAGC